TCCGGGCCTCCCTCGGCATCAGGCTCCTCAGCCTCACCTCCTGGATCGCGCGGGTGACATGGGTAGAGCTAGTTGGGAGTAAGCGTTCCGCCAAGTATCGAGGTCCTAAACCGTTTAGGGCTTTATACGTGAGCATTAACACTTTAAAGTCAATGCGGAAACGGATGGGCAGCCAGTGCAGCATGGCCAGAGTAGGAGAGATATGTTGGTATTTTCTCACTCCAGTAAGGAGTCTGGCCGCCGCATTCTGCACCACTTGAAGTTTCCGCATCAGCTTCAAAGGAAGCCCCACGTAGAGCGCATTACAGTAGTCTAATCTAGAAATTACGAACGCATGTACTAAGGTAGTGAGCGCCCCTGTGTCTAGGTAAGGTCGCAGCCGGGCAATCCACCAAAGGTGGAAAAAGGTGGTGCGGACTTTATCAAAAGTACTGTATCAAAAGATTAATTGTGCTCATGTCCTAAAGATTAAACCAGACACAGCCAAGAAAACACAAGTATGTTGTCATGTTGTATGAGATGCCAAAAAAAAAAAAAACCTGCTTAAAACACTCCTCCTCTGTTGAGGTGATTCTACTGAATACAACAAATTTTGAGACTGCAGGTCTTGTTATGTGTCTAATTCTTCAGCGTAAATGTTAATGTCTCCTTTCTCCTCTCTGCTTATATATATACCTCAGTTACCACAGATCTGGAAGACATCCAAGCTGGCCATCAACTTACCACAGATCTGGAAGACATCCAAGCTGCCCATCGAGTTATGTTCCCTGTCTGAGTGCCCTGATGAGGATTGTAGTTGAGATCCAAGGAGGTACTTCAGGCGGTACCCAAGACTGGCATGAACACTAGGAATTTTGAGTGGAGGAAGGCACAGCTCCTCATATTTCCTAAACTAATGTGCCAGGAGGCCACTGACAAAATAGTTCTATTCAAGATATATACAAGCCAAAAGCTTCTTTGGAAGTAAACTGCTGGTTGTGTTGCTTTTTACTCTACAGTCTCAGTGTTGGCCAAGATGTCATTATTACTGGAGAAGGGAAGCCCTGGGAAGAACAGAAGGATCTTCGTGAACCACCTCAGGAATCCTTGGCCTGCAATTAGCCATACACAGCCCCATCTAAATCAGTGCAGAAGTACTGATTCATGATTTAATTTATGTTTTACTATCGTTTTCTGAAGTGTTTATACCAACATTTGAATCTACTTTCCTGTAGATGTTAGAAGAGTGGCTCTTCAAATGTTTATTGCTGGAATGGGGGGTGGGGTGGGGACATGAGGCTTGCTAGATGCTGCCAGACTGCAGTCCCCTCTATCCCAGCCAGAATAGCCAATGGTACAGGATGATAGGAGTCGATGGATTCGCTGAGCGACGGTTAATCCGGAACGGATTAACCTCGCTAAGCGAGGCACCACTGTATTTATACCAACATTTGAATCTACTTTCCTGTAGATGTTAGAAGAGTGGCTCTTCAAATGTTTATTGCTGGAATGGGGGGTGGGAGGGACATGAGGCTTGCTAGATGCTGCCAGACTGCAGTCCCCTCTATCCCAGCCAGAATAGCCAATGGTATAGGATGATAGGAGTTGCTTTCTGAGACATTCTGAGGACAACTTTCCCCATGCCTCATCTATACTGCAGCGAAGCAGGGCTGTTTATACACACAATGCAAAAACATAATATATTATAGGTAGCTCTTGGGCTGCCATTTCCTGTCTTTTATGCATAGTTACAGTAGTTGGAATGTTATTTAAAAAACAACAATCATAACAACTGCAGCTAATGCAGGCTAATACAACACTCTGTTTCTGTGTTCAGAAAACCAGCAAACAGCAAAAAGGTGAAAGTTAAAGAACTCACCATCTTCAAATGGAGTACCTTCTGGCCTGCAAACAAACAAACAAAATTATAGAATAAAACATTATTTAATGTAGTGAACAAAATGCGACTCAACCTTACAGTTGATTTGGTGCAATTCAGGTTTCCATAAAATGATGGCAAATATTACTAAAAACTGATCTGATTTGGAATCTAAAGATTTCAGTGCATCTGCTTCCAGGGAGATTTGCTCCCAGAGTCTGACACTCTTATGGTCACTGCATTTTCAGACAAAATGCCGAGAATTATGGACATATTTAGATGGCAGGCTTGTGCTCTCAATAAAAATTCCACATTTAGTTAACAATGCTTTTAAAAGAGAAAAGAAGCCATGAATCCCCACATTGTATTGTCATACAATCTCTGGGACAGAAAGTCTGGCTCTAATGCACTTCCTGATCTGTATTCAGTTGTTTCACTCTTCATATTTAGGATCTGTTGACATCTTACAAAGATTAAGTTACTTAGAATATACAAATCTTTATAAAAGAAAACTTTTACACTTACCCAAAAATAACAGCATTCCATTGCATTATATTATTCTCTGATGGTGCGCCACTGACCCCCACAGGTGGGTCTTCTTGTAATCTTAAAAAAAGAACACAACAAAACAAAAACATAGACATAAAAATCCACAATATGCCATACATTAACTATTATGTGTGACAATGATCAGAATCCTGTCAGTAAACCAGTACTATACCAACTCACTTTTCAAGGATAGAGATTGCTACCACTGAAAATGTAGACTGCATAAGCATTCTGTTTGATTTAGAAAGATGCTAGTGAGGATTCAGACCAGTGAGAATTATACAGAATCTATAAAGCTATCACCTGGAAGGCCCATCTGTTTGAAACATGCACATAAATCATTAAAAGAGGTACAGATAGAAGGAGAGATTTTAACACTTGTACTGTAATGCTACTTGTGCTGCAATACGGTGAGACTGCACTGTTCTATTTTGGTTGGTGGAACAGTCTGACTTCAGTGTGTGCTGTGCCATCCCATTTCAACCCACTCCCATATGTTACCCTGCTCCAAAAGCCTCTCGTTTATTTTTGCCTTCACATGGGCAGGAGGCATCTTACTTTACTACGTCATTCAATCCCTCAAACTGGATTATTCCCAGGATATCTCTTACAGAAAAGCTGACTAGACAGCGTGAAGTCTTCCCTCGTGGCAAATCCGACCTCTGTAACCTTACTTCAGGGAGCACGCGAGTCTCCCTTCCGATTCTTGTGAGACAGTTTTGTCACAATTATGCACCAGTATTCTCATTGTACCATGGGTGATGTTCATTATCATGTCTGTTAAACTGAAGAGTTTGTAGCAGTTTGTGAAGGAAAATGGGAGGTTTGTTTAAGACTGAATAAGTAGCTGATAACATTAAATAGTTATACTGTAGATAGCTTTGTTTTGTTGAGGGTTTTTTTTTTTTTGATAGAAAGCATGTAGAACAGTGTAGGAGGAGGTATAACAGCCAAAGAACTACCCTGTGCTGTCAGCCTGAAGTTCCTAGCTCTTATATTTTGGCCTTTGTTTACACAGCTTTGTAACACAACTCTCTAGAAGCATGCTCAGTTCAAGCAATTTAATGTCAACAGCACAGGCTACCCAAACCTTGGCTGGAGAGCCAAACAACGTGACATGATAGCTAGCTTGCATGCCAGCAACCTGGCCTAAGCATTAAGCCCATGTGTAATTCAAAGATAGCTTTTAATCTTAAAGTTTCAGGAATATCATGCTGTAAAAGCCTTTAGCCGTCAAGATTTTCCAGCCCAAAGTGGCATGCAGAGTTAATCAAAGATCAGAGGACAATTGGATGCTCTTATAATCCCTGTAACCAAAAGGTGACTTCTTCCAACAATGTGAGATGTTTTGAGAAAACAATAGTCCCGTGTTATGTTTGAAATATTAAAAATGCCTCACACAAACTAAATTCTTTGCTCAATTAATCTATCTGGAACAGCAATTTCCAAATTCAGAACTCCTCATGTTCTTGAACAACAGCTCCCAAAAGCCCTAGGTATGGTACCGATAGTCATGACTTCATGGTATTATAATCCCAGAACATCTATGGCACCAAGTGTAGAAATCTCTGATCTATTCTAAAGCATTCCATTTTGAGATTGATGTTACTAAGTATCTTCCCATGAAGTTTTTACAGTCTCTCAGTTTTACAAGTACAGTACTATTATTCAAGGACTATCTCTCAGTTTATAGGAGGGGTGGGGAACCCCTAGTGAGTCCCTCAGAATACACTCCCTATAATCCCACAATGGTGGGGCTGATATAAGGGCCACAGCTCTCCATCCTTGCTTTATAGAGAAAGGATGTTTCATTCCATTCCTCGGAGGAACCGTCTTTGCAAATGAAATCTAGAAAATTATGCAGTGGACATCCTAGCTAAAAACTGTACAAGTTCTTTTTTCTCAGTTTTCAAAACATCATAAACACCACCCATAGTTATTTGGCACTTGGGAGAAGAATACGGTTTTTAATGTTTTTACCTTTTCAGTGTTCCCATACTCACTGCAAAGTGTCTTAGGGAAAATGTTAAAATATAAAGCCAAAATAGAAAATCTAAAAGTTGTAGCTGGATCAAAACATTTATTAAAAGCAAGTGGGCAGTATTCAGACCTAGATGCCAAGAGTAAATTCACCTTGAATGATAGATATGTAAGGATATCTAATGTTGAAATTAATTTCCATACATAGATGTCAGAATAAGTCTCAGTGGTTTGTGTTCCAACAATAACAAAAAACTGTTTGGGATGACAGCTTTTGACAAATGCTGCTCTTTTGCATATAGGCACTGTGCTACTGAAAATCATAACAGTACCAACCCATTCTGTTGTGTTGACATAACCACATTGGCCATACTGGGATAACACAACTACTTGAAATCATGTGCTAAGTCAGCAATCCTGGCATTCCATTGTATAGTATTTGCCAATTCATTCAGCTGGTCCTGTCAATTTCAGGCTAAAGCAAAGTTTAGAATCCTACAGCAGAACCTCCTGACTACTCAATTAGCACTCCATGGAACTTTTACTGTATTAAAGTGGCAACCTAGATCTTTCAAAGTGTTTAGATGATAAACTGTAATTTTGTAGAAGCTGTACAGGTTTTGCCGTGGAATCCATTTACCACAAAATATATTTTGGATGGAATATCTTTCTTGGCAGCCTGCCTGAGGCAAGACAATGTTTTTTATTTTGCCAGCTTCAGCAGAACCTCCACAGATGCCTCCAGATGTCAGTAAAAGCGAAGAAGCCAAGAATGATGAGAGGAGGGAGGCTCTAAACAAACAAGGAAACACTGCAAATATCTTGAACAGGAGACACATCAAAACAGCTTCCTTGTTAGTATTAACCTTTTCTATATACCATGCCTGACGTAATATTTCTGACAGATTTTCCACAACTGCTGAAAAAGTAGCTACCCACAGAAGCATAAAGCATTGTTTTATTTTCTCCACTATTTTCTCAACTTCCCACTGACTTTCACACCCTCCAATCCACTTCTCAAAGCTTTCATTCTCAAAACCAAATTAGTTACACCAATTTGCTTTACATGTGCAGAAGACAGAGTAAACTGAATTCCAAATACCCTGAAATTCTACTCCGGAGCAGCTACATGAGAGATTAAAAGATTCAGCACAGTTAAGGGAAGAGGAGGACACACACCAGATTGGAAGGAGTTTTGTTTCCAGTTGCATGGGCAACCTGACAATGACTTCTTTGAACACCCACTGGCAAGATGCTTTGAGATCAGCGGATGGAGGCTACTGTAAGTAAAACTCCGCTCAACTCAAATAACAAAGTTTGAACTTTACACAAAGCTGTGACCCACCGTTTCCTGTTGTTTAAATAAGCAGACAAAAACATTAGCAGCAACTTCTATAAAGTTGACTGTGTCTTTTATGTAACACCTTCAGTTCTCTACCCTAGGCTCCTATAAGGAAGGAAATGTGCATTTAATCTTCTAAGACAGCAAAGGTCACCTATGCCAGGAAAGGGGGGGGCAGGAGAGATCAGTTTATTAAACCAGATATCTGACCTTTCTTTTCAAACAATGTTCATCTAATAGGTTATAAAACTGGCACCCCTGATCATTCTGTACAGCCAGAGGCGTTCAGTCATCTACACCTCTGACTGGCCAACCCGGTCCATTTTGATTCAACTCACATTATCTTAGCAAGATAGGAATTACCCAAGGGGCGGGGGTGATGGTGGTCAAACCTGATAGATAGGTGAGCCTTCAGGAACCTGTGTCCAGTGGACACAAACTCTTGGAAGTCTTTTGTTTCTAGCCTAATCCTCCTCCTTCCAGAGGCACCTTGATTTCTTCCTCCCTAACGGGGAGTGTGGGGTTTGGGAAAGAAAGTAGAAAGCCGAACTCCAAGGATGGAAAAACAGAAGACCATTGGGAAACGGTGGGAGGGGGGAAATGCGGGGGGGAATCCCTTGCACTCTTTGTCCTACCAATTTTGGGGGTGAAGAGAGGGGAGAGAGGAAATCCAGATGGCCTCTTTTCTTTTCCTTCACACCAGAAGAAAGCCTTCCCCCCTCTTTCTGCCAAGTAAAAAGGAAAGAAAGAGTCCCCCTCCAAGGAAAGGAGGATCGATCCCACCTTGGACTCTAAAGCTGGGGGTAAGGGGGGGTGCGTGCTAGTCCTGCGAGCGGGCGGGCAGGCAGGCAGCTACTTTTGGGGAAACGAAGGCAGGGAGCCACTTACCTCTTGAAATCCCTCATTAACCTCCGCCTGGCTGGAGTGGACATGATCCTCCCGTTCCCCTGACGTCAAACGCAGCCCCCCCTGTGCCCACCTAAAAGCCTCGGTACCGCTGGCAGCGCGGACGTCTCCTTTGCCGGCAGCTGCCCCTGCCGCCTCCGCCGCCTCCACCTGCCCTTCCCCGGCGGCTGCTTCACAAACAACTCCGCAATGGCGTCTCCCTCCGCCGGTGGGAGGAGGGAAGCAGCCACCCTTCGCGACCGTACCATTGCGCCTACTTGGTAGGGGAGCGAGAAAGCCTTAGGAGCGCACCATTAAGACAATGTAAAGGGGAGTCTTTTATGAGCGCAAGTGGGGGGGGGCAGTTGTGTCCCTTTTCAGGAAATGCTTTGCAGATTCAAAGACTCTTGTCGGGAGGGAGAGAAAAACAATTGCGGCACGCAACCCTGTGCTCTAATGTGATGGAAGAGGATCTGTAGGTTTTGCTCTATTCTTAAAATGCCAGAGACAACTTGTTGGTCTTTAAGATGCCACAGGCCTTTCCCTTTTTTTAAAAAATAATTATTTTAGAGGGTCCCAGCCTCATTCTTTTCACTAAAGGAGAAAAAATGCCAGTTTCACAGGATGAAGTGAGCAGAAGGCAAATCTTTCGGTGACCGCAAGATGTTTCTAATTTCGTGATCTGACACAGCAATGACTAAATTTATTTATGTACTGTATTTATTTAAAATATTTTAATCCCACCTTTCTCCTTAAAAGGATCCAAGGCAGTTTAACATAATTAAAAATCCATTTTAAAAGCTAAAAATAGCAAGTATAGAAATGTTTTAAAAGAATTAAATAAATACCACACTAAAAATGGTAAACAAAATCAACACCAAAACTAGATTCAAAGCAACAAGGCACAAGACTCTATTTACAACCGCTCTCAGACAGCCAATCACTAAGGATGAGCCTGTCTGGAGAAAAAGGTCTTTTTCTGCTTGTGGAAAGATGGCAAAGATGGGGCCAGCCTGACCTCCAGTGGGAGGGAGTTCCAGAGTCTGGGTGCAGCGAGGGAGAAGGCCCTCTCCTGTGTCCCCACCAAACACACCTGTGATGGTGATGGGGCTGCGAGAAAGGCCTCCTCTAATGATCTTAACACCAGGATAGGCTCATAAAGGGAGATTCAATCCTTAAGTTAGCTTGGACCCAAGCCATTTAGGGCTTTATATGTTAAAACCAGCACTTTGAATTGTGCCTAGAACTGGACTGGCAGGCAATGTAGCTGCTGTAACGGGGATTATATGATCCCTATAACCAGCCCCAGTTAACCAGCAGTTCCAATACAATGTAGTCAAATTAAGTTTCTAAACACTTTCCAAAGGCAGCCCCATGTAGAGCATGTTATAGTAATCCAACTGGGTTGTAACTAAGGCATGTGTCACTGTGGCCAGATCTTGCCTCTCCAGGAACAGGTACAACTAACATACTAGTTTTAACTGTGCAAATTTGCTTTATTTCCATGACACATGAGAAACCATTTTTGAGATAGACCACTGTGCCCCTAAAAGGATTCAGATTGATCCACGGCCTTGCATTGGAAATATGAATAACAAATTGCCCTAGAGAAAAATAATGTATCAACCCATAATAAACCACCATATCATCCAATATCACATGAATAAGATGTTATGTAAAGCTTTCAGGTGTATTTGAAAATTACATTTTCTTTGTAGAAATTAGTAATTGCAGAATCCTACTTGGACTTTAATTGAGGAATAGAAATTTGAAATATTTATCCTTCCACACTAGCAGTTATGAAACCACTTTAATGCTAAACCAGCAGTGCAGGAATTGTGAATGAAAAAGTCTATTATTTTGCTTTTATAGTGTCCTGAATAAGTTTTCCCACAAATAACAGAGTATGATTCATTGCGCAAGAATGCAGCACCTTTAAAACTTGTGTAGATTTGAACACTATTATCTGTGCTTAATGGTCACCTAGAAACTAACATGCACAATTTTATATCTGTTGACTCATAAGGAGGGCCTGCTTTGATCCTACCTTAACTTTTATTAGATGAACTAGACTTGCTGCCTAATAAATTTTACAATACGAGAACACTGAGGAAAGGACTCGGCCTTTTTTTTTTTGGCATGCTTCAATGCCAGGAATAGTGGTGAAATAATTTTGAAAAGTGACGTCAGGTAAAGGCGGCTCTTTTCCTCCCTCCTCCACTGTACATGTGACGTCACCCACCCTCAAGCTCCCATCCGCCTTCTCTTCCGAGCCCGGAATTGCTCGAACGCGGTTGAACTCAAAGAAGCACCGCCCCCTTACGTAAGCAGTCCGGCTGTTGATATAACCGGCGGTTGCTATGGGAACAGGGCCGGTTTGTTTGGCTGGGCCTGGGAAGAGTCAACATGGGGGACTCTCGGGAGCAGGTCAGAGGCTTCGCAGATAGCAGGTTGCTCCAGCGGGCGGGGCAGCTGCGTGGGCGGTCTATCGCCGGGGGTTGGGGAAGGGGGTGTCCGAGGGAGGGCTCTTTGGGGCGGAAGGAAAAGAAGGGTAGCAAGCGGAGGTGTGGGGGATGAGCCCGCAGGAAGGCGGAGCAGGCACAACAGCCGTGTGAGGTGGCGAGAGTGTGCTTGAAGGGCAACGCACGGAATAAAGGCGGGTGCCCGCGGCAGGGGATCTCTCCGCGCGCCCAAAACTCAGATAAACACACAATACAATAGCATTAAAATATTGGAAAAAATATTTATTTATGCACGCTGTCAGTGACTCCACAGGCAAGTATAATACAGTTCTTTCATCCTTCCCCTATGCATGTCTTTAATGACTCGGTATTGTCACTGTCTCATGGGAAAAGGTGGTCATACACTGGCTTATTGCTGGCATCAATGAAATTGTCTTAGCCTCCTCCAGTGTTGCAACTGAGTAGGAGTGGACATTATTGGTGTTCATTCCACAGTGGCTGTTGGAATCTTCTTCACACAGTACCATCTCTTGGCCAACTGAAATTTGACACGTGCAGCACTTTCCTGGGTGGCTCCATTTGGGACACTCTAGTGCAGCCATCCACCCAGGTTCCTCTTCCCCAGGACCATTCAGGGACCTCCTCACACAACTATTCAACTTAGTTTCCAGCTCCTTCATCACCCTAGTCTGTGAGGATGCTCCGGTTTCTCAACATCTACTGTTTTTATCCTACATACCTGTTTACCTATATCACAAGACTTTGCTGTTACTGTATAACGAAGTCTTTCTAGAGAATTGTAAACAGTAAAAGAAGAGGGATACAATTTTTCACAATGTTGAAGGGAACAACTGTGCTGTTTCAGAGTCATTATTAACAATAGAAAAGGATGTGGAATATGCACATCAGTGTTGGCAGAAGCATAGGCAGGACTATGGTGCAGTCTACTGTATTTCTAATTCTTCCTAGTTAAAAGTCCTGTGCAAGACCCATGGAAATATATGCTTTATAGGTCTCAACCTAGAGTGCAAGGTTGCATAACAAATCTCAGAACAGTTAGCTGTACAGTTTCTACTTTCAGTTTCTTGCATGAAAGTAGCCTTAATCCTATATTCTTGAACAACTACACTGCTTGTTTGTGCTATATAACAGGGTTGAATAAATCTTTCCTCCTCATAGGAATAGCTCATTTGCTTAGACATACTTGTTGAAGTGAAAGAGAACAAAATGTGTGCAGTTTAAAGTAACATTTTTCTTTTTCTTCGAAGAGATTTCAGACTTGAGTATGGAGATGTATGAGATCCTCAGAAAAGTGGGAGAGGGAAGTTATGGAACCGTAATGAAATGTAAACACAAGGAAACAGGACATATAGTTGCCATTAAGATATTTTATGAGAAGCCAGAAAAATCTGTCAACAAAATCGCAATGAGAGAGATAAAGTTCCTAAAGGTTTGCTTCCTTTATTGCCATTTTGAAAATTAATGCATTCATATTCCATAGACATAAGATGTGCATCCTCATTACATATGGTTCACCGTTACAGGCTTCTGAATTCCTATAGCTATAAGAAAATGCATGTTGTTTGGTCATGACTTGATTTTTTTAAAATAAAATGAATGTAGGTGTTATTGTTTTCACTGGAAATATTATTCTGACAAGTGTTCTTAGAATCTCACCCAACAGGACTCAGAAAACATAACCAAAAGTTGCATTCAGTTGAGTGGAGCATTGTAACATATAATTATCATACTAGAAGACATGTGTATTTTTCTACTATAATATTTTTTAAATCTATCCTTTGTAGTACATAAATACTGGCTGAAAACCTGGCAGTGATTTCTAAAATTAAAGACTCCTCCCTCCTGTCCCAAGGCCCCCAGTGGCTTCCCAATGATGAAAATCATTACATGGGGGCATTGGGACTTTTGGAGAAACAATTGGAAATGTTTGATTTCAAAAAAATCACCATAGCTGCTGACCTTATCCACCTTACGCAGTATAACCTATAGCAAAAGAATTTTAATTGCTATCTTTTCATAGTATACATAGTAGTAAAAGATATGTTCTGCTAAATTATTTCCAAATAAGAAAAACTGTTGTGATTCATGAAACCTCACACTGACATACCGTGTTTCCCCCAAAATAAGACAGGGTCTTATATTAATTTTTCCTCCAAAAATGCATTGGGGCTTATTTTCAGGGAATGTTTTATTTTATTTTCATGTACAACAATCTACATTTATTCAAATACAATCTTGTCATCTTCTTCTGGTTGCTGTATAGTGCTGCACAATGGTGGAGGCAGGGTTTCACTTAACTAGGGCTTATTTTTAGAGTAGGGCTTATATTACGAGCATCCTGAAAAATCCTACTAGGGCTTATTTTCAGGTTAGGTCTTATTTTCTGGGAAACAGGGTATATTAATTTTTGCTCCAAAAACGCATTAGGGCTTATTTTCAGGGGATGCTTTATTTTTTTCATGTACAATCTACATTTATTCAAATACAGTCGCATCATCTTCTGGTTGCTGCAAAATGGTGGAGGGCGGGCTTTCACTTAACTACTGTAGGGCTTATTTTCAGATTAGGTCTTATTTTCAGGGAAACAGGGTATATCTGTTGCCATAATACTTTTGTTTTGTTGTGCCATCAAGTCACCTCTAAATTTTGGGGAACAATATCGAAAATGTACTGTCTCCAACAGCTCTGCTCAGCTGTTGTAAACTCGATCTTCTAGCTTCCTTTAGAGAGTCAGCCTGTCTCATATTTGATCTTCCTCTTTTCCTGCTGCCTTCCACTTTTTCCAGCATTGTTGTCTTCTCCAAAGTGTGGAAGGGATTGTCATTCTCAATTGGCCTTCTCAGCCACACTAGACACTGTTCCAAGTCCTCTATTCAGAGCACGTTACCATGGTCTCTCGAGACTGAAGGATGCCTAATCTGTCATTTCCAAAGTACCCTGCCTTTTCATGATGTGTGCAAAGTAGGACAGCCGCAGTTTCAACATTTTTGCCTCCAAAAATACAGTAGTACAAGCTTGATTGGATCTAGGACACACTTGTTTGTCTTTCTGGCAGTCTGGGGTATCCACAAACTCTTCTCCAGTACATTTATTTTGTTATGTGCTGATGCTTACGTACAAAGCCCTAAACGGTTTAGGGTCTCGATACTTGGCGGAACGCCTACTCCCACCAAGACCTACCCGTGTCACTCGTGCAAGCCAGGAGGTGAGGCTGAGGAGCCTAACGTCGAGGGAGGCCCGGAAGGTAAAGAGAAGAAATCGGGCCTTCTCGGCGGTGGCTCCTCGCCTTTGGAACAACCTACCTCCTGAGATTCACGTGGCACCCTCGCTGGATATCTTTAAAAATCAACTGAAAACATGGATGTTTTGGCAGGCCTTCCCTCCAGACAATTCCTGATGCCTTCTCCTCTCCCTCTCCTATTGTTTCCTCCCTTTCCTAAGGTTTCTTCTATTTAAAAATTTTTATACTATTTTATGCTGTTAGCCGCCTAGAGTGGTCTTAACCGACCAGATAGGCGGGATCTAAAATAAATAAATAAATTATGCATGCTGAATTAGACTAATATGACTGCTTCTCTGAAAAGAGCTATGTTCAAATGGACACTGTTGAAAAAAGAGAAGTATATTTCATTTTCTCTTTTGTTAACAGCAATTTCGTCATGAGAACTTGGTAAATCTGATTGAAGTCTTCAGACAGAAAAAGAAAATTCACTTGGTGTTTGAATTTATTGACCATACAATTTTAGATGAGCTACAGCATTTCTCTCATGGACTGGATAACAGAAGACTTAAGCGGTACTTGTATCAGATTCTTAGAGCAGTTGACTATCTCCATAGAAACAATGTAAGTACCTAATAGTTGTGGAGAAAAATCAACCACTATTATTTATATCTGAACACTTTATATAATAATGATTGCATGAACTTATGCTGGAGAATTAGATTTCCTATATAAAAGAGTGTTACAGTATTTGAAAGCAGAAAGTTTCCTTGCTTTAACTTATTCTATCCTATTTTAGAAGAGGTTGCACAAAACCAAAATTACAAGTATGTACTGAACCAGTAACACAAGTGCATGTTCTCATGCAGGCATTACATATCAAGTCACTTAACATATGTATATATTACAGCATATTAGCAAAGGCATGTTAGAAGTATTAACTCATTTTGTAGATAAAATACAGTACACTAGAAACTACAGTTAAGAAAAAGCAACTATAGCTTTATTTTAATTTTCTTACAATTAAAGCAAGTGAATCATTGACAGAGTGGGTAAAAACTTATTTATTAATTTATTAGATTTCTATCCCGCCCCCCTAGACAAAGTCTACTCAGGGCAGGTTCCATTAAACATTATAAATTAAAAAAATGTTAGTAATGCTCAAGATGGGAAAACAGAAAATTATAATCAGAATAAAGTCAAGTATTGACAGGAGGAAAGGCCTGCCTGAAGAGCTGTTTTTAATTGGATTGATTCAGTCAGAAAGCTGTGTTTAAAGTAAAAGATAGAATAAGAAAGCATTAGGTTTGCTATATGGAAAATATGAGGAAATGCTAATGGCTGACAAGAGAGAACATGGAACTGTTCAATACCTACTTTTCCTCCAAAAAGGAAATCAGTACTCCACCTAGAGAAAATAGTTTAAATCATGGTGTAAGAAGGATACAGATCAAGATAGATGAAGAGGTGGTATGGAGACCTCAGCTACTTTAGATGAATTCGATTCAATTTATGCCAAGAAAGGCTCCAGCAGAGATCACTAAACTGTTGATTTGTGAGCACTTAGAAAAGAATACTATGATTACTAAGAGCCAGCATGAATTTCTGAAAAATAAGTCATGCCAAATTAATACCAGCTCTTTATTTGATAGAGTTTCAGGCTTGGTAGGTCAGGACAATGCTTCCTAGATTGGGCAGATTTAGTGTACCTTGATTTCACGAAAGCTTTTGCAAGGGTATCTCATGAATAGATTGCTTTACAGCTCAAACATTCTGTGATTCTGTGACTAAGGAAATGTAAAATAAAAACCCATAAACGTTGGTAAGTGTCCCAGATCCCATACATTCAGTAAATGAATTAAACACATATGAAGAGACAGTTTTTAAGGCTTATTGAGTATACCAAATATTGCACTTGTCTGAGTAAACAATGGGCTGTACCAATGAATTCTGCTTGCCCTTGCAGAAACATTTTTATTTCCCCTGTTTGCCTTATTTATAGGTTGCATTTTTCCCAATAACGGGGCTCAACATAGTGTTCAACTGGAATGTTCACATAATACTGATGGAGCTAGTAGTGAATATGAATTTTAAAAAGTAACTTAGGGTGATAATGAGGAAGATCTATGCAAACTAGAGAAGTAAAAGTTCCTGTTTCATAATTTTTCTAATGGGATCGTTAACTGGCTCTAGTACCGTCAGTTTATTAGAGTGACAGACTTTCTTTCTCTTCCTGATCAAGACTGGAACCAGTATCCTACTGAGTCTCTGCTGAGCAGAATATCCTGGCAAAGTAGTAATACATAACTGTGCCACTTGTACAATGGCAACAAATAACACAAGTGGCAGAGTCTTGTGTTACTGTGCTGGTGGGACTTCATACTCACCAGAAGCTCAGTTGGTACTGACTTATGTCTTTAATTTGTTGACTGAAAAAAAACCAAGCAAGCCTTCTTAAGATCAAGATCTCTAACTTTTTTAGACTGAGGCTTTTAAAGCTAGAGAGTTCAAAAGAACAGTAGGCCTCCCTGACCCAAAACCTTATTCTGACTGTGTCCTCAGACCTTCATTTATTTCTCCAGTCATTCTGCTCAGAGGGAAGAATGCCAGAAGTTATTCTCCTAATCTCTGGGAAGTACTTTTGTAATTAAAACTGTTCAGAAAGTAACTGTTTCATGTCTCCTTCCTTCCTCATGCACAAGCATTTGAAACCCCAAGTGGCTTGGCATGGCTTACTGTTTTAAATAGGGTTTGTTGGGCTATCTGAAATCTGCACCTGGTTAAACTGGTATAGAACTGATATTTGATGAGAGAATGGTGCTAGAAAATATCTTCCTAAAATCGTAGAGACTGAGGTACTGAGGTAGATGCACCAGTGCTTTGTTACTGTAGAGAAACACTTCCTGTGTCCTTTTGTCTCTGATTGTGTGCCAGATGCCCTTGATAGCTCCATTCATTCATTAATACTTCTACCTCGAGGAAGATGGTTTTTCTCATATTCATTTAGCTCTGTTCTTAAAAGTGGTCCACATCTGATTAAAAGGAGAAAACCTGTCTTAAAAATTTTCTTCAACCAGATTTTTGTTTTTGTTTCACCAGGTTATTCACCGAGACATCAAACCTGAGAATATTTTAGTTTCTCAGAATGGAATTACTAAACTTTGTGATTTTGGATTTGCACGGACCTTAGCAGCCCCTGGTGACATTTATACTGATTATGTGGCCACAAGGTGGTACCGTGCTCCAGAGCTGGTATTAAAAGACACTACATATGGGAAGTATGTATTTTTCAAAATCCTGTTACAAGCTTGTGCTGGATGGCAATATACTGTATACTCAGCTTTTAGTGTGAGGATATATGAATAAAAGCATCCTTTAACAAAAATGCAGATAAACTGAAATGTATTGGGAATAACAGAAGAACATTAGGTGGCGCTCTGACCCATATTTCAACTGGAGTTGTTGTTTTGATAGAGGGAGATTAACAAACTATCCAGTCCAAATAATTTGCAAAAAATTGTACATAATCCTACTATTTTGGAAGACAGTTGCAAATGCTTCATTGAATATAGTAGTACCAGGTATGCAGTTTATCCTTAAATAAAATTGACCAACTGTGTAAGTGGTTCCTGCTATTTGACGCATTTGAAATTGGAATTGTTAAATTATACTACATCAGAATTACAGCCCTTAAATTAAACTAATATACAGGTCTCACTGTTTTCAGTGGATCAAACACAATGGACAAAAGAGGGGATTTCTGATTGAAGTTTCAATTCCAAATTTTTGTAGGATATTTGGACAAGATGCCTGACATGACCTCACCTCTTTGGCACCATCACCACTGATGCTTGGCTTTGCTTCTCCCTCTACACTAGACGGGAGCAGCTATGGCCCTTTAGGAGTTGTTTAACTGCAACGTTGCCCCTTGCCATTGACTATGAAAGCTAGGGATTGGTGCAGTTGTCAGCCAGAAACATCTAGACGTCAAAGTTGTCTTCCTGCTCCAAATCTAGTCTGCACTGCTTAACTTCTTCCCCTGTATTAAGTGTACATTGCTGTCTAAGAGAAGAGCAAGGCAGGTTGAGACCATTGTTTCTTCTTTTTCAATGCTGATAAGCAGTGAGCGCACGGCAATAGAAAAAGAAGGAGGAGGAACAAGGTCAGAGGTCTGGTGCTCTGCAGTGCCAGGCCCAGACAGCTGTCCTGTCCAATCATTCAGAATGGTAAGTTGGATAGGCAATAGGTGGATTAATTTTGGTGGATAAGTAAATTGGGAAACATCTAAAAGAAATTGTAATACTGATGTTACCTGGATGTTTTGAGGATAAAAGTTATATATTGGCTAAAATCCTGTTGGTCTTCACATAAGATCTGCATAACTTACTGTAGATAATTGTGACTAGTTGATAGGTCCTTTGACCATGACACAGTCATGTGTGTGGTTATGTGACTGAATGCAGAACTGAGATGGCACCACAGTACTTCATTCCTTAGTCGCAATTAGCTGCAGCAATTAGCTGCAGCAAGTTGCACAGATTTTACAGGCACACCAATAGGATTCCAGCCAACAATTTATGTACAAATCCCACTGAAATCAGTATGGCATGTATCAGCACAATATGTTTAGGATGACAATGATATCAAGCTGCAATTCACACATTTGATTTGATTTGATTTGATTTGATTTGATTTGATTTATACCCCACCTATCTAGTCCGAGTTTAGGATGACAATGATATCAAGCTGCAGTTCACACATTGTTTACTTTGATGCCACTGCTTAAACTCAGTGTATTTCTCCAAATTATGATATCTAACTTTTTTGTGCTCTTGGCCTTGGCTAACTGATCTTGCATCCACATGTTTAAATTCTTGTAATTTTATAAATGTTGCCATTTTAAACATGATTTTTCTTTCTTTAAAAAAGGATTTGACTGCGCATATATGGTCCTTTGCTGTAGTTTCAGTCTTTATATTGTTGAGCACTTTGTTCATTTCCTAATTTTAGACCTGTCGACATCTGGGCTTTAGGTTGTATGATCATTGAGATGGCCACTGGCAGCCCCTACCTACCCAGCAGTTCTGATCTTGACTTACTTCATAAAATTGTGACCAAAGTAGGTAGGTATCTCTATGGGTGATGTTTGCAGACATTATTGTAGTAAAATGTTCATCAGTTACTACTCTTAATACAAATTTAAACCGGTGTAAATTTCTACTTTGTTGGATTATGAAGATTTGAAGCTCAGAGAAATTGTCCATTGTAATTAATTTCATTGTAATTGAGAGAAATAAAGGGAATATACACTCAAATTCTTTAAAAAAAATTTTTTTTGCTCCAACTTTATGAAGCAAAACTGATGGAAGGAAGGTTTTACTCTCCTTCCTCCAAGTGTTACAGCCCTGATTCACACACAGCTACTTTTATAGTCAGAAAAAAGGAAAGCAGGAAATCAAATTGTACAGCTCATTCTGTCTTGTCCACTTTGGCAGTAGGCATCTGAGCACAGATGATTTTTTTTTATCATATGTCTCTTGAAAATTAGGTTGGTCCACTCAGACCACATTTCTAGAAACATTGATTCAGACTGCTGATTTCAGCAAAACGTTTACTTCTATGCCTTTGAATCCTTTTTTTCATCAGATAGGAATGCTTTCTCTGTAGTAGCTAAACCAAATAATCTGTGCAGCTACAAAAGGAGCATATCAATCTGCTGTTTTCCATTTTCCTCTTATTTCTATATTGTTTACTCATTGTCAGATTTTAGATGTTTAGCTTCCTGGGGCAGAGACATGTCCACATGTATTTTATAAAGCACAGTGGCCATACATCAATTGTATGTTATTAGTGTCAATTCTGTACAGACAAAAATGGATTATGGTACTTTTGTTTTCAGATAACCATTCATGATAAACTGAGCCTTTAGTAATGTTGTTATTAGTAAAATGAATTCTAAGCTGTTATTCTACACCTGAGAAGAAAGGCATTTATTTACAAATTGTTAAATATGCATAGTATTATTCTTCCAATGTATAGGCATAATCAGTTATATAAGTTTATTTACAATTATATTACATTTGATTAACAGATGTCTATATTACTTGCACGTGTACAGTTTTGTGAGTAACAAAAATGAGTTCACCAGCCCAGTTTCAAGGGAGCATCTCCTACAGTTCAGTGCAGGAATGGTTAAATGCATAGAAGCACTGTACTCATTTTCAGAATAATCATGGAGCTTCCTGAAGTGCCAGTGTTGTAACTGATTCTGTATCGACACCCTTGTAACTATGATTCTGTGATTAAAATATCATGGATCCTAAAGTGTGGATGCTTAGATCTATGTTAATTTAGCAGCAAAATTAACTTACAGAAACAGTACCTTGAGTAGTGTGTTTTAGTATAAACTACATTTGATCAGCATTCAGATATGTTTGAGCTATGTGGTTTTTTTTTCCTTTCAGGCAATTTGACGCCTCACCTTCAGAGCATTTTTATCAGAAGCCCGTTTTTTTCAGGAATGGTCCTTCCTGAAGTTCAGCACCCTAAAAGTGCAAGGAAAAAGTATCCCAAGCTCAGTGCACTACTTGCAGATATGGTTCATGTATGTCAGAAGAGGTCTGAGTATCACACTTACTGATAATTATTATTTATAGCCTCTCATAGTCTCTGTGTGTGTGTGTGTGAAAATCTGTGTTTTTATTATCCTGTGTATTTAGAACTCACACACAGATCTGTACCTTAGTATACTTCTTCTCTTACTTGTTATCTCACTCTTTTTTTTACTTCCAGGGAAAAGAGATAAAGTGAAACCAGTTTCTACGTCCCATGAGATTTCTTTTGCACATATCAGTGGGACATTCTTGATACAACCTTGAAAATTCTGGTTTTCTAACCTGATGTTCAGTTTCTAATTTGTGTCCTGCACGGTATTTAAAAAGATGAATTTCAGAAGCCTCATTCTATTTTAAATTTGATTGTGTGAAAGAAAGCCATATTTTTTTCTACATCATTAAAAATATGTCCTTTTAAGCCAATAGCAGACCTCCATTACATTGATCGCTGTTTTGTTTATAAAGATTTAGAGACCCAAGGACTTCTGGTTACCCCAGCAGGCCCGAAGATTTAGTGAGCAAGAAAATATGTGTTATAAAAGGAAGAATTGGCTTTTGAGGGTGCAATTTGCTGTTTTGGAGACTCTGTTTTTTCAGGGATTAGGGATATGACCAACCAAGATCGGGCTAAAATGACACCTAAATCATCAGAAATTGCCAATTATCCTCTTCTTTCTGGGCCAGGTTGGATATGATGTGGTGCAGCTCTGCCATGATCACCCCAGGTCATCCAGCAGCTATTTCCCTGTAAGAGAGGTTTTCCTAATCCTGAGACTTCCAAAGCCTTTCCCTGTAGGGCTCCGAAACTGAAGGGGGGGGGGGCTAGGAAGTGTTTACAATTAAATTAAATTTAAATTTAAAATGCCAATCACCAGGTGATGACATCATCCAGCTAGTGCAGCATAAATTTACCCCAAGAGGATTTCAGTCATTGGGTACTGTACTGGTATGGTTCTCCACCAATGCAAATGCAGGTAGTTGAGCTCTGCCAAATCCCACGGCTATGTGGTAGGCCTGTGCAACATTAATAAGGTAGCGGTGGCTGATCTGAGATGTTGCAATTGCTTTATTCTTTTCTGACAATGCCTGCTCTTTTCTCATGAGAGGCATTGCTCTCATTGATGGAGCACTGGGTTTGCTGCATAGCCAACCACTGAGCTGGATAATATCCAGACTCCAAGTGAGGGCTGAGCAGTGCTTTGGCTCAGCTGCTTGAACTTTCATTGGAAGGTCCAGTTATCATTATGAAGCCCAATTAGTCACGCCCAGTTTAGTCAAAACGAAAACAGTGTAATAAAGGCAACATCTGTGATGTCTTATGTTTCCTTGTGATATTTTAGTCATAACCAAGGTTTATTGTTTTCTTATTCACTTTCTGTGCTCTGCTGCTATAAATATGATACAGTAAATATGTTTCTAGGCAGAGTGTTCATTTATCAGATATTAGCTTGAAATTTGAATGGCAAATTATGTACATGTTGAAGGAAGTTCTGTGACAGATGTAGCAAATTGTTAATGGCAATTGCAATGCCAGGCACCCTTCAATTATATATATTGCACTGTTACCATTCATACTTGAACAAAAATCTTAAAGTACTTGATTCAACAAGAAGCAAGAGGCAATGAGGCTTGCAGTAATAAAGTGCCCTTACTGTCCATAATTCCTGCGGCACTGATAGGCCTAGTTTCAAATGAATGGAAGCTCTTTTTCTGTCAGTGAAAGGACTATAAAGCTAAGGATTCTAAAAGTGTCAGAATGATAGTGTTCACAAACCAATAATTACCCTAGCTATAAATGGAAATGTTATGGTAACTTCGTTTCCTTTCATAGGAATACAAACAGACAATACAAACAGAAAGCCTTTTGTGCTAAGAAAGTGATAGTAATGTTGATTACAGTGTACTGTACTTTTGTCTTAGACTTTCAGAAGCGATATTTCTTCTCAAAAACAGAGTAGATTAAGTAAAAACTACTCAAAGTATGCTATAGTGTCATCCTGACAATGATCTTCTGACCAAATAGAGAGGTTTGGATAATTTATTCATGTCAGAAAATGCTTGTGCCTTGATTAATATAGTGGTGCCTTGACTTACGAACTTAATTGTTTCAGGAATATGGTCGTAACTCGAAATAGTCGTAAGTCGAAGCACCCTCACCCATTGGAATGCATTGAAATGCAATTAATCTGATCACCAAAAAAAAAAAATCACTGCAATACTGGTTGGAAACGTGATTAATCCCTTCCAACCGAAGGAGGGGGGGGGAAGAAAAGCAATCAACCATGCAAGACCCATTGCAAATGCAAATAAGACAAAGCAAAAAGCAATCAAGTGTGCAAGACCTAATGCAAAGAAAACAAACCAAAAACCAACCAACCACGCAAGACCCATTGCAAATGCAAACAAGACAAAGCAAAAACCAATCAAGCAGATGGTGCAAGATCGGAAATGGTGGAGAAAAGAACTAAAAAGCAAATAAACTCCCCAAGACCCATCGGAAATGGGGGGGAAATCCAAAAAGCAACCAACCCCCCCAAGACCCATCAGAAACAGGGGAAAAATCCAAAAAGCAACCAACCCCCCCAAGACCCATCAGAAATAGGGGGGACCAAAAAAACAAACAAACAAAAAACCCCAAGACCCATCACAGCACAAAACCATAACCCCCCAGCTCAAAACCACGGTGCAAAAACACCCAGTACAGTTTTTTTAAAAAGCAGAAAACAGCACCTTACCTTACAAGGCAGCCCGAAGCCTCCCTGCAAACACAGACACACACACTCAGAAGCAGAAGGAGGCAGTCCCAAGCCTCCTCCTCCGACGCACACTCTCTAACTACTGGGGTGAAAGAGCTACAAAGAAGCAGCCTCGTCGCCACCTACAGTTAGAAATTTGAATTTCCCGCCTTTTCCCCCTGCCTTTTTCTGTTCATAAGTTGAAGCTCTGGTCGCAAGTAGAAGCAAAAGCAATACAGGCACCACTGTATTGAGAAGGTTTTTTATAACTTGCGCCCCTTCAGAAAAATATTTTTACATGGATGCCACTTATCTAAAAAGGAAGTAGTTCCAAGGGTGGTGTTGCAGTTTCCTTTCGATAGGAGTTCACTGGAGAGCTGGATTGTCTGTATTATTATTATTTACAATATGCAAGCTGAACATAATGGAATTAGAATGCTTCCACTTGTTTGGTGATTGGTCATTGGGAGGTAAACATAGCCTTCATTTGGAAGTCTGATTGCCTAGGCATATTGCTCTGAACAAATACTGAAGATCGAGTTTTCTCAGTTTGTAATCATGAGCGGAGTGTCTTGTGTAGTTTGTCCCATAAAGCCAAACTGGATGTGAGACTTACTGAATCACTGGAAAGCATGCTAGTTTTTTTTAACTTATGAGTGTGTGGTTATTGTAATAATTTATTATCTGGCTTTTAACTTTCTTTCTTTTAGCCCTGTAAGTTACCTTGGATCCTTTGGGAGGAAGGTGGCATACATATATTTTAAATCAATCAATAATAAAATAAAATCCATTAGCAAGTCACAGCTAGAGTAAGCCCATTGAATCAATGGAACCTATTGAGAAGCTAACTCACCAAGTCCCCTCTGATTCAATGTACTGTATCTCATTGTGACTTGATACTGAATTTCAGCCTGTGTATGTACAGTGGTGCCTCGCATAGCGACATTAATCCGTGCAGCAAAAATCGCTGCTAAGCGATATCGTCGCTATGCGATTTTAAAAAGCCCATAGAAACCTGTTTAATGCGTTCCTATGGGCAAAAAACTGACCTTAAAGCGAAGATCCTCCATACGGCGGCCATTTTCACTGCTTCTTAAGCGAGGAATCCATCCCTAAACACAGCGGGCGGCCATTTTTTTTACCCGGCGACCATTTTGGAACCGCCAATCAGCTGTTAAAAAATCATCGCTTTGCGATGATCAGTAAGCGAAACAGGGAACCGATCATTGCAAAGGAAAAAAAACCCATTTAAAACATCACAATGCAATTGCTTTTGCGATCGCAAAATCTTCATCGCTATGCGGTTTCGTCGCTAAACAGAGCACTCGTTAAGCGAGGCACCACTGTATGTGTTTGCATGGATTGTATTGATTATACATTATTTTCATTGGGACCAGAGCATATGACCTTTCTAACAAAATTTTCCAATGCTTCTAGCAGCCCTGAATATACTCCTACTGACAAGTTCACCCCCATGGTACCATGGTAGTTGGGATGTTGTAGCAACAAGCAGTTGTAGCTTATCACATGTGGAGGATTCCAGACTGAGGAAGACTGAACTAGGCTATCCTTGGTGATATCACAAGCACTATCAAATAAGTGCTGACCAATAGCATTCATAAAGAAATCTCAGATGGCAAATCCTCTCTAGTGATGACAACAATTGCATTTTCCTAGAATTTATGTAGCATGGCTCAGGTAAGATGGCCTGATCCCATGCAATAAACAATCAGAAGCACCTTTGCATTTCTTCTTCAAAAATGGCCTTGGTTACAATGGCATAATTAGCTATCATTTCAAAGACTAGATAAAGAATAGTTATCTTCTGTTTTGAACAGCTTTAAATAAAATTCTTTGTAACACTAATCCGAGCCCTTTCCTTAGCTGTGAGGATCTTCACAAAGCAAAAATGTGAGCTAGAGTTTTCTGGCAGCGAAGAGAGATTAGAACAAGCTGGCAAAAAGGATTGCATGAATAAGCATTTGCTAAACAGTAGAAAAATAATAGACAGTTTGGTGTAGTAGATAGAGACTTGGGAAACTTGGATTCAGATCTTAGCTCAGCTGTGGAAACTGCCTGGGTGGCAATGGTAAACAATTATTTCAAAGTCTCACACACCTATTAGGGTTGTTGTAACTCAGAAGCAACTTGACAGCATGTTGCAACAGAAAAATAATATACAGAACAAATGCTATGCTTATTTTTCCTGGAGATATGAAGGCCCGGGAAAAAATACTGCCCTATAGAACATTATATATCTTTCCTGCAACACTGCTTTCTAAAATAATGATTTCATTATTTTCTAGGCTTGTTTACAAATGGATCCTGCAGATAGGATATCATCTGCTGATTTACTACAGCATGAATATTTCACCAGAGATGGCTTTGTTGAAAAGTAAGCAGTTTGGACTCAAATGTATTTGTTCACTCATTCATACATTCATGCATTCATTCTATCAGTTAATTTATATCATACTGTTTTCCTAAAATAGAACTCAAGAATTTACTTAAGAAGATTTCAGAATTTATTTCTGGAATCTTTCAAGATGACTGTTACTTTTTAAAACTTATTATTTGCACAACAAATGTGCAGTTTTATTAATTTGCTGATGGGAAAATCAAAACCTATTCATCTGAAATTTCTGGGATGACATATTTTCCTTGCACTAAATCACAGCATATAATTTCTGGGAAACCTTTTTGGCTGCCCTTTTTCACATTAAAAAATGCTGCCATTTCAAATGTAGGTACCATGTGATTATACCTGTCCGAACATATAAAACATTTACTCAGAGCCTGTCTTGATACTGATGATGAGTACCGGAACTCTCCATGCAGCCAGCCCAGTTTAGCAGACAGAAGGGAATGGTTTCCACAACATTGTGGCAAAATATAGAAGTGCAATCTTCCTTCCTTCCTTCTTTGAAAACTTAGAAGCTAATTGGATTTTCTAAGTACTGTATTTACTTGAAAGAGGAAGACATAGATGTATGCATACACCAGTGAAGAGAGAAAAAAATTCAGTTCTATTGGCCTATCCAATAAATTCCCCAGGCTGTGCTCAATTCAGGGGGATCAAGATTTCAAACCCGTCTGAAAATCATAGCCTCTGTTGGGAGCCTTTTCTTACGTGAACACATATGAAAGTCAGTTGTGAACAAAGCCAACAGAGACTTTTAAACTACTTTTAAAAGTAATTAGTTGCAGATTTAGTTCCAAAACCCCAAAATTGCCAGTTGCCATTTGAAAATTACTTTACTTTCCTATTGCCTTTGAGAAGCTAAATCAGTTGTTTCATGTGCATGTGTACATGAGTGTTTTTGTGTATAGAATCATCTGAATGCTCCTCATTGCTGCCAAAGGCTATGAAACATGCCTTTCATTCTCTCTTCAACATCTACAAGGCCAGGAGTTGAATCATGTGGTGTTCCATCACCTTTTATTAAGATGATTATTTTCTCAACAGCAGTGATTTTCAGAACATAAAGGTACTCCTACCCCATCCCATAGCCTCCAGCAGCTTCCCGACAACAATAGGGATGCCAGGGGAGCCTCTGGTCCTTTGGGTGGGATTAGAATTATTTTATTTCTGAAAAATAATCATGGCTGAAGATGTCATCAGTTTTATGTGGCATAATTTCTGATTCCAGCTGTTTCCCCCCCCACCTGTTCACTGAACTTTTTTATTCCTTTGTTTCTTAAAACAGAAGTTTAGGTTTTGTTTCTAAGTCCTTACTATTTTCTAGACAGCAAACATAAGATATACCACTATGGCACATGGTTTATGTAGTGTCACCAAAGTAAACAAAGCTGTATTTCATAAATTCAGTTTCAGTTCTGAAAGTGTAGAGTGTTCTGTTCTCCCTGTGTAGACATTATGCAGACACACACAACATCCTGAGTGGTTGCTATAGTCCTTTGGCTCTGGATAGCAAGTTTTTTTCTATTTTGGGGTGGGTGGGTAGAAGTGGGGTGGCTAGACAGAAAACTTGAAAGATTATTCTTGTGAGTCTTACCTGTGACTTCTGTGGACTATAGCTTAAAGCTGACATTCCAAAGGCATATATTTGGAAATCCATTCAATTGAAGCTAGTAGTTTTAACTAAATGTTTTTCAGTCCAGGCTATATTCTGTTTTTCAGATAAATGAACTATATTTCAGGTGGGTATGATATTTTTGATGACTTCATCTTCTTAAACAGAAAGATGTACACACATAATTAATATTAGGGATGCTAATTGCAAATAAGGCTAGATATTTGTTCTCTGTCTTGTCCACCCAAAAGACTGCGCAACAAAACACAACAAGAGCAATATAATATAAGTGGCCCAATGCAAATAGGAATGTTTGGAGTTCCACATTGGAGAAACCAAACAGCCACTAAACAGGAGAATGGTCCAGAACAGGAGGAGCAATGGCTCAGGACTACAATCAGCCGTATTCCTTAATTTGAAGGACAAAGGACACTCATTTGATGACCAAGATGTACTCATTTTGGACCAAGAAGACAGGTGGTTTGAGAGGGGTCAGGGAGGCCATACATGTGCATATAGAAAATCCTTCACTCAGCAGGGGTGGAGACCTTAAATATAGTCTGTCTCCTATTTATCACACTTCTCTTTCATCAGTCCCCAGAACGATTGGGACCACACAAACCAGAAAGACCACTGTTAATAATCCATGACAGTGGATGGAGAAGGACTACAGAAATGGGATTATCCCTCACCACCAGTCCTTTGTCCTTCTAACAAGTCTATTCAGACCAGGGGAAAGTGAAACCGATGTGGAGGATATATGAGGGATCTCCTACCAACTCTCCTCAGACTGAAGAAGCTACTTGGATAAGTAGCAAAACATTTCAACCTAATAAGAAAGAAGTCCAGTAGCCATGACTCAACTTCCAGATATGCTAACTGAAGTTTGCTTATGTGAGATATGGCAGGAACCATGAATCAAAGCTGAATAAAGGGTTGTATCAAACACTAATCATAAAAGTTTGCTGTATAAGTGTTTTTCCATGATGTACACTATTTTTGTGGCATATGTTCTTCTTTTCAAGCAGTACAGTTTTATTGGGAAGGATGAGACTGTGTACAGATTAAAAAGCAGCTGGGACTCAATAACGATTGGTTACATCTATGGTTTTGAATGCGCTTCTCATTGTCAGGTTCTTACCAGAACTAAAAAGCAAATTACTACAAGAAACAAAGCTGAGTTTTCTTTCAAAATTCAGAGACAATAATAAAGACACTGAGCAAATCAAGGATGAAAAGAGAACAATTAATACTAATGTACCTCAAAATGGCCCAATAGTGGTGAAGGTATGAATTATTATTATTTTAAATGTTTAATATTACTTTACACAGACTAAAGATAAAGGCTATAGCTTAGGAATTGCACCTTAATTGGATAAAATCAGCAGAGTTGTCATAGGCATATAGAGGCATGTAGTTACTATTTGTAATTACTTTTTACTCATCTTTTTGTACTTGTATTTAGTCCTTTATTTCCACATATGTTAAATTTTTGACTTTCAATAGTGAACAATATAAACGTTTATTTAGGTTATGTGTATAATCCTATGGATGTTTACAAAAAGTATGTAACTACACAGGCATTTAGCTTGCTGTTTGGTCTGCTGCACGTATAGGTTGGTTTATTCCTAAAACTGGTGATCAGATGATGCCTTTGCTGGAGTGAATTAATCTGCCCCAAACCATACTTATTGCAAACGAAGCCTTATGAGGAAAGGCTGAAAGAATTGGGCATATTTAGCCTTGAGAAAAGAAGATGAGGGTTGATATGATAGCACTTTTAAAATACTTGAAAGGCTGTCATACAGAGGAGGGACAGGATCAGGAGGACAGGACACTCTACAGTGGGATCAAGTTAAAGGAAGGCACATTTTGGCTGAATATCAGGAAAAACTTCCTAACCGTTAGAGCAGTATGGCAGTGGAACCAGTTACTCGGAAGTTGGTGAGTGCTACAACACTGGAAGCATTCAAGAGAAACTTAGATAAGCACCTGGCGTATATGCTTTGATATATGCAAGGCTTCCTCTTTGAGTTTTAGTTGCTTAATCTGTTAGAAGAAGATCTTTGTAAAGGCAAAAACCTTGATTTCTGTCATGGACCAGGATAGTGTTTCAACATCCTTGTATTCTGAGAATTCATACCTCTCCATAATAATATGGACTTCAGGATAAGATACTGAATTCAGCATCCCAAGAAATGCATGATGTACATACAGTATATGTTGATAATAGATGCACATAATTCCTAGCTTTAAAATATTGTTAGTAATGCATGGTATATTCACTGAAGCTTCAAAAAAGGAGGAGCTGATTTCTGAAGAATCTAAGGGAAACCTTTACAGTGGGGTCTTGACTTGAGAACTTAATCCGTATTGGAAGGCGGTTCTCAAGTCAAAAAGTTCTCAGGTCAAATCTGCATTTCCCATAGGAATGCATTGAAAACCATTTGATCCGTATCTGCTCTTTTCCGTCCATAGGAACTAATAGGAAGCTGCTATTCCGTCTTCGACCACTGGAGGGGGATATTTTGTTTCCTTTTTTTCTTAGGTCAAGAAAGGTTCAGGGAAGGCAGGGAAAATACAGTCCAGGCAGTACCAGGCAGTCTGAAGACTGTCTCCCAATCCACTCTCTAAACGCTGAGAGGAGTGAGCAAGCAGACCCCCTTTTCACTGGCCAACAGTTAACTGAAAGTTCAAATTTTGCACTTTCCCTGCCTCCCACATGGTTTTTTTCAGTTCTTAACTCAAATCTAAGTATGTAAGTCAAGTCACTATTTTCCTATGAGAGTGGTTCTTAAGTCAAAATGTTCTTAACTCAAGCCGTTCTTAAGTCAAGACCCCACTGTAGTTCTTTGTTGACTAGTGGAAATAACACATTTGACTAATTTTTACACTAAATAGTTTCATTCTATTATAAATGTTCCTCATTTGGGAATATTCTTAGATGAAGTTTTATGAGATACGGAAATCACAACTGTTTTAGCTTATGCCAGCTGCATTGTTGCCAGGCAGACCTGGCTTTTTGCACATTTGTTACAGTTGGTCATGTGACTGCTTCTGATCAGATGTTTAGAATTAAGAGACTGTGCCAGGAGAAAAAGCAAAATACGGATGGTGTCATAAGAGGAAATACTTGTGAAGTTTTTCTTTCTTTCTTTCTTTCTTTCTTTCTTTCTTTCTTTCTTTCTTTCTTTCTTTCTTTCTTTCTTTCTTTCTTTCTTTCTTATAATATTTGAGATGTGTAAGCAATGAGGAAAATTAAAAACAGGTCATTTACAAATACTTTAATTGGCTTTTAAACAGATCACAGAACTGAAGTGCTGTCTTCTATATTAAAAAGCCTAGGGGCAGCATTTTTGTCTAATTTACACTTTGACACAAACTGCAGTTGGAAAAAAGGGTACTTGGAAATCTAATAGATAAGTTGTTGGAAATGGGGAAAGACTAGGTAGTGTATTGTTTTGTTTTAATAACAGGCATTGCCAGGGTATGCATGTGACACAAAACACTCTCTGCTTCCATACTTCAGGCAAATTGCTCAAGCCATATTATAACTTTTTTTTTTTGCCTAGAACTGCTGTGTCTTCATCTTGAGTTCTGGGAAGTAAAATTTCATTTTAGTTTTTTTTAGTCTGAGATTATTGTGCATGGCAAAAAGCTTTTTTGGAAAAAAACTGTTGTGGTAGCAATATAAATTTTAATACAAATGACCAGCAAATTCAATAACATTTCTGGACTGTAACAGTCATGTTGATCTATTGGAGTGAAAGCAACACTAGGTTTTTTTTACCACATATAACAACAAGAAATATTAGCATCTTAAATATAAGAAGTTTATTGTGTAATCTTTTAAAGGCTAGAGTCCATTTCATTCTGAATCTAATAAAGAAGGATCAGAACTCTTAACTATTTAATTGGAGAATTCAAATTTTAAAAGGCATTAAATGTGCATCATTTATCACTGAACCCCCCATGCAAGCTGGGAATTCTCCACTTCTAGAATCGGAGAGTAAATTGTGGGCAAAGTATTGATCAATGTTTACAATATATGTATTCTCTGTTCCAGGAAACAGACAAAGAGAAAAAGACAAAGGAGATAAAGGTAAAAGGCATTAAAATGAAAGTGGGGAAATCTGAAATCTCAGAGGTTAAAAGAAATGAAGAAGATGTAGTTTCACAGTGGGCTGCTCTGTCTCAGAACTCTCTAAACCCTCCTCATGAGAACAAATCCACAGGCAGTGATGGCACTACCCTGGCAGTAGCTGGCTCTGATGCTGGTGGGATAAAGGAAGATTCTCCGCAAACACCTTCTATGACAATGCCACGCATCCACCCAAACTGTGGAAATATTACAGTAAATTTCAGTCCACACTTCCTGTGTCCTAATTCAAGGTACGTACTTCAACACTGAATTCTAAAGGAAGTGTGTGAAAAGTGAGGAGTTGGAAAGTTTTGAAAAATTTATTCGTCTTGAAATAACATTCTGACTGCTAGATTTTCATAAGCTATTTTTCATTTCTTACTGAAAAACAAATCTCCAAAGTATGGCCAATATTATGAAATATAATGCAGTTTTTGTTTTCTATTAAACATTAACACTAAAAATAAATTGTTTTGTTATTATATAGGTATTAATCTGTTACATCATTTATCATTATTAGACTACCTGAAAAAGGAAAGAAAAGGCGAAGTCCTTGGCCAGCAGTGGGACATGTGGGTCCAAATAACCATCAAGAAGAAGGAACTATAACTCAAGTAAGTGTAGAAGTTTAACCTTATTTCAAAATGCATTTCTGACAGGTTCCTATGCCATTATAAAATTTCTTCAAACCCATGGTTACGGAGGAAGAGAGACATGCCCAAGAGACAAACCTCATTATACATGAGGCCCTTTGTTTCAATTAGAACCTATCAAACTATGAATAAAGAAGTGTTTCAAATATGGCAAGACCATACTTCTTAGATCTTGCTTGGAAGCACTCTGTATGTTTCCCTTACATGCCAACTTAAAAGCTGACTTACAAGGCAAATCTAGATTTGTTTATAGCTGACAAAAGTATTCTAGGTTCATCATAGCTGACGTTATCACAGTAAAGGGTTAATTCCAAAATGAAATCAATCACTGACAAGCATTTCAAAATTCATCTGGGTATCTTAGGTATAAGTACTTTCTTTGTTGCTCCTTTAAATATTTATTGTACGTACAGGATATTCTAACAGAAATGTTTGCATTGTCCTCTTTACCTCCTATATACTGTATAACACTCTATTTTCCCACTTGACTGTGGATGAAACAGGATTGAAAGAGTATGCCTGATTCCCCACTGTGCAGTAAAGACTTGCATTTTTGCATTCAAAAATGTTAACCCATTAACTGAGTGGAGACTCTGATAGAGAGAAGACTTAAGATTCAACGGGGTGTGTGTGTGTGTTAATCAGTTCCTTCCATGTCATCAGGACAGGAATCATCTATCTTTTCAGTGGCAAGTTCATAGCTGACTTTTCTTTCCCAGAATTTTCTTATCTAGTTTGTTTACATAAGCAGACCTTCTGTTTTTCAGTGTGCAATTTATTTTCCCTTTCTATGGGAGTTAACATGCAAAAGGCAAGGTTTACATTATTTTTCTGAGTCAGTCTGGCTCAGAAATAACTTTTAAGTCCAGAAACTAAGAACATAAATCTTTTCTTGTTTTGTTTTGTTTTGTCTTGTCTTGTCTAAACATTTAATTTACGCTGTAAGCACACACTTAAATCATGCTATAGTCCTATTTTAAAAATATAGGAACATACACAGGGCTTGAAAAATTTTAGAATGGCTCACCAGTCAGTCAAAAATTTCACCAGTCAGCATGACTGGACTATAGCCTTGCAATTTATGTTAACAAATTTAAACTAGGCACTTGTTCACCTTTATTTCTACATAACAACAGTTCCCTCCCACCCCAGGATGTGTCCTTATTTGGTTGAAATTGGGAGCAGGGAATCTCCATATTCTCCAGCATGGGAGTACTCTACATTCTCCTGCAGAGCTATATATTTATAATTCTTCATTGCTGATTAAAGCATGACAAACAATGGTTCACTTATATTCTAGGTTTTGTTAAACTATTCTGCTATAAAGCAGCAGATTCCCCCCACTTATTAGCGGTAATTGTTTACTTTCCCCACTTCCCAGCATCCATGACAGCCAACAAGCAGAGAAATAAACAACATACATCACACACCTGCCCAGAGGCATTTTTTTGCCTGTATTTGCTCCATTTACCTATCAGATATTGGTGTTTCCTATTTTCTTGTGTATACCTTGAATAGCAAAATGAATCAGGTGATTGCCAAAGAATTGTTATGATCTCAGTGACCTTGCTTGCCAACAGTATTCTTGCAGTAAACAATATTTTCACACCACAAGTTTAAAAGTACTATACTTTTAGGGCAGTTTTCCAAACCCTCCATACTTGTTCTAATTCTCTTTAACCAAGCAGCAAACATTGACAATGCTGATGCCTTTTGTTTTCTTTTAATTTGTTGTGTAAATCAGAAATAATAAGACCTTGTACCATCAGATGCAGTGGAAACAAACCCAAATAAAAGCCCATATATAGTTGTGAATGGAGTCAATAGTTCAATTTTACTTATACTGTATTTACTGTGGAAATATCTGCACACTTTTTATTCAGGTATTCCATTTAGATAATTTCTACCTGGAGGAATTAGTTCTTTTAAAATATTAACTATACAGTATTTGATTATTTGAGACTATACTCTTTATCCCATGAGCATCAGGGGTTCCTGATACCAACATTCTGTTACTGGGATGTAGTGAATCTCAGTGTTCACAAGCTGACTTGGTTTGTAGCTAAAACAGAAAACAGAATTAAATCAGGATTCAATTCTGCTAGATTGTAAAAAGAAGTCCTCCAGCAGATGATGAAGTTGGCAGTTCCTCTCCTAATGCATGCTGTAAATCAAACAGGTAGTTGAACTTTTCAGATGAATAAACAATGCTTTTGTTGCTGGATGTTTTTGTTTAGTGTCTAAGAGAAATATTCTAATAGTTCTTCCACATCATAATAATTATTTGTCCTGGTGGTGGATGGTGGTGCAAGTTTCCTCTGAACAGTGTCATTAAAAATTCATAGCAGATAATGTCAAGAGCAGAAACAAAAATATAAAGGAATAGTTAGTGTGATAAACATACCCCAGATGTTATCTTGGATACATGTTGATTCAATTTTTAGAACCAAATAGAGAAAGTCTCCCTATATGAAAGAGCTGCTCAGATTGATCAAATGGTCAACATAAACAGGAAAAAACGGAATATTTCAAGATGTGAGAAGAGAGACATTCATTTCCCAGAGTTAGCAACAACAGGGCAACAGAAAGAACTGAAAGGAATGGAAAGTAAGTTTGCTACCTTTCTTTGGATTTTTTTCCATAAAAATTAAGTAAAATTAAAATATATTTAAATTTATCAGTGTGTAGAATTTCTGGAAAGGGTTCCAAAATAATCTGTTCAACATAAAAAAATCCTTTTGGTTAATCAGTTGAACAGCATCCTTCTTTTGCAAAACAAGCATATATGCCACTCATTTTGTTCCTTTTTTGTCTTTAGTTTTCCTTCAGACAAACTTTATTTTAAATATTATTTTGATGTTGCTTTGGTTATTTTTAAATTAATTTTTAAACATACAAAGGACATCCCAGTATTGTTGATCCAAAAAAATGATACATATCTCCTCAGTTATTTTTAAAGTAAAAATTAAAATGGTTGGAAGATACAGTGATGGGCATCCTATATAGTGGATACTGTGGCCCTAAACCTAACTCCTTCAAAGAACCTGAAACTATCCAGAAAAAGTTATTAGTATTTCTTTTTGAATAGCAAAACCCCTACAGTGTATTAGAAACTGGTTTTGAATAGTTCTCAAATTCAAAGATAGATTACCATGCAACAGGAGGTGCTGGGGAAGAGAATTACTACAATCTCAGAAAAATGTCTAAATCTCCCAGAGACCCAATTCTCCCAGAGAATTAATTTCATTGTACTTTCACTAAGTCCATCTGTCGCCTTGAATGGATTCTGTCATTAGGAGGACCTTACATCATATGCAACAATGTGTAACAAAGCACTAATTATCATTGGTCTTGTACAAAACAAAATCAAAACAAAAACAAAACACCCTAGCTTGAGAAGGCTGTAGTTTTGAGTGAAGGAGCAATGACAGAGTGGTGGTGTTCAAATCTTTTTCTGCCAGTCATTATTCTGCTGTTCCCTTCTGTGTTTCTGCAAATAGAGCCACAATCTTCTGTTTACAAGACATCAAATTAAAATGTGAAATCTTTTGCGGTAGAGTGAACTTTTCATGCAAAAATAACATTATCTTCTATTCTACAAACTGTTCAATTAAATCAGGTCTTCTTTGCTCCCTTAGCTATTGAACTGTGCATTTTTGACAATTCAATTTAGAGTACAAAAAATATTTAAATCTAGAAATAAATTAGGGTTTGTTTGTTCGTTTGGTGAAGTTAAACAGGTGAGAGTGCTGAAGAGGGAGTCAAAAAAATGTGAAGTGTCTAAAATACCATCTTTACTGAATGTGGATCAGAATCGTGATAAACAAGAGGTAAAGTAGATAGATTTGCTTGTAATGAACACGTGGCTGCTGAGCTATAAGCTTAAGTTTGCAGAAGTTAATGTAGTTAAACAAACCTGTTTGTTACATTTTGGCAACCGATATTGTCTGTGCAAAGGATAACAGCAAATTTTTTTGAGCATACTTTAAAAAATAAATTACAGAACGGCCCAAAACCCATGGATAGCTTTCCAGGTGGGGTTATGATGGGGTGAGGGTTCCTCTGTTACAGGTAGATAGGAGCTCCATGGAAGGGCAACCCCAAAGGCCCTGTTTACACCAGTAAAAATATATTGTGGCCTTAAAAGCTCTCACCATGTTCCCACTGTCTGTGTGTCTCCAGACTGTCATGGCATGAGTTGGTGAGAGCCATCTTGAAATCATGGATCCAAAATTCTTCTAATTTGCTATGAAGGTCCTGGATCAAGCCTCTCGCCTAAGGCAGCCTGAAAGTGGCATAGCCAGTTTCGTCCACCCCAGTTATATCAGGGGGAGGAGAGATTTAACAAAACAATGCCACTTCTCTATATGTCCCAAGATCCCACTTAGGATTGCTCTGTCTAGTTGTAGAAAATTAGATTAATATACGATTTGTCATCCTTGGACAGTTCCTTACAAGTACATATTACAGATGTTTACATTCAACAAGCAGGCTCTTTTTTAAAGCTTTTTGTTAAAAGCTTATTAAAATGTTGTTTGTATGTTAATTTTTTTTATCAAATTAGAGGAGAAAGATAGTTTTAATTAAGAGGTGAGCTTCCAGTAATACATTTATGTCAACTAACCTTTTTAAAAAATCTAATATTTAGAACACAGAGAATACAGGAAATTTACAGAATGAATGAAAACAAGCCAAGTTTGCCTGTATAACAGCATGCCTCTTGGGAAGATGTTAGAATGCCTGGAGTAAGACCTTTGATTTTTTTCAATAACTTTTCATTTCAAAAGTATCATAGAAAACTCTGCATACTATGAGTAGATCCTGAAATAAATTATTTTGAAATGCGATGATCACCAAACTGATAATTTTACATTGAATTTAAAGTAAATTCAAGGCAAGGGCAGAGCAGTCATGTACTGTAATTACAGAGGGAGTGGGGCTGCCACACTGGGAGAATGGCAATCGTAATTCTAATGGTTAGTCTGGGAGAACAGAGAAAAGCAACTGTCGAAGAAATACAAAAATAGCAGACATGCTCCAGTATCTATCTGGCAACACCAGTAATGTCCACCAATCAGGGACTGTTATATTAACTATGCAGTAACTAAATATTACGGGCCAGCATTTCTGCCTTCGGGGGATTCTTCATCATCTGCCGTCCCTCAGGCACTGAGTGACAGACAGTGTGGCTGTGCTGCTGCCGGTTGCCACGCTTCCTGGGGGAGTTTGGCTTGGACTCCCTCGGCCTTGCAGGACTGGGCCTTCATTGCCTCTGGCTGCCCCCCCCCCTCCTCAACGTCGGCCACCTGGCTCGGGGGGGGGGAAGAAGGGGCTTTATAAGAGGTGTTTATTGTGGTTATCAAGAGAGAGACGTAGAGACCCACAGCCATTGAGGTGGTGCTGGGTAGGGGAAGGAATGGTGGTGGGGGTAGAACATGCCCACGTAGGAGAAGAGAGGTTAGCTATCTTACGTCTATCCCCTCTTCTAGTCCTAACCCCAACCAGATGGTATCAGGCGACCATATCAGCAAACCCTCGAGCCACACGGTGCTGTTGATGAATGCCAAGTCAGTACAAAATAAGACTGCCCTCATTCATGATGTAATTCTGGATGAGGGTGCTGACCTGGCATGCATTACTGAGACCTGGGTGGGAGAGGAGGGTGGTGTTCCCCTCTCCCAGCTGCATCCGCCTGGGTACTCGGTCCAGCACCAATATCGCTCAGAGGGTCGTGGAGGGGGAGTTACTATAGTCTATGGGGGTTCTATCTCCTTGACCAGGCTTCCTATCCTTTTGAGAGGAGGTCTTGAGGGCCTGTATTGGGCTTATGAGACAGATTGGGGATTCTGTTGGTGTACCACCCACCCTGCTGCATACCAATGGTCTCCCTGCCTGAGCTGACAGAGATAGTCTCGGAACTGGTGTTGAGGACTCCCAGGCTGTTGGTGCTGGGGGACCTCAAAATCCATGCCCAGGCTGATTTGAATGGGGCAGCTCAGGACTACATGGCCGCCATGACAACCATGGGGCTATCTCAGTGTTTCATCATTGGCCCGACACATGAAAAGGGCCATACCTTGGATCTGGTTTTCTCAATGGGACTGGAAGATGGTGGTTTGGATGTGGAGGGGCTGGTTGTGACCCCTTTGTCATGGTCAGACCACTTCCTGGTCAAGTTTACTCTATTAGCTTCTTCTCCTCTCTGCAAGGGTGGGGGATCTATTAAGATAATCCGCCCTCGGAGACTAATGGATCTGGATGGTTTCCTGAATGCTCTGGAGCACTGGTTCTTAACCTTGGGTTACTCAGGAGTTTTGGACTGCAACTCCCAGAAGCCTTCACCACCAGCTGTCCTGACTGGGGTTTCTGGGAGTTGCAGTTCAAAAGCATCCGAGTAACAAAGGTTAAGAACCACTGCTCTGGAGGATTATCCATCTGATATGGTCAGCGCTCCTGTTGAAGTTCAGATCACCCTATGGAATAGGGAGATAATTGACATAAATAAAATAGATGACCTGGGCAGTTGACATGATTACGCCTAGGCGCCCTCTCTGTGTGCGCAGAGCCCAGACAGCTCCTTGGTATACTTCTGAACTGTGGGCAATGAAGCGAGAGGGGAGATGGCTGGAGCGCAGGTGAGGAAATCCCGCTGGGAGTCGGATCTAAAACAACTTAGAGCCCATTATCGGGCCTGTTTTGTGGCAATACAGCTGGCGAAATGGCAATATTTCTCCAGCTGTATTGCTTCTTCAGAATGTCATCCAGCAGAGCTGTTTCAGGTGGTCTGGGATTTTCTTCAACCAGGAAATCCAGTGAAGGTCCCGGACTGCTCATTACCTCGCTGTGATGAGTTTGCAATTCATTTTGAGGGGGAAATCACTCAGATTCGCAGTGGGTTGGACTCCACCGTTACTGTAGAATCAGAGGATGTGTCCAGTGTGCCGTGCTTAGGTCAAGTATTAATGGATGAGTTTCAGTTGTTGAGACCTGAGGATGTGGACAGGGTGCTTGGATCTCTCCGTTCTACCACCACTCTGTTCAACCCGTGCCCATCGTGGTCACGAACTGCATGAGGAAACTTTTGAAAAACAACAAGCCACAAACAGTATTCAGGCCCACCAAAAAAATACAACAAATGTTACAGTCAGCAACATTTGAACATTTGAAGGGACTCCCTCACCACTGCAGGAGTATACCAGATACCTTGCAGTTGTGGCCAGCTATATACTGGAACCACAAAACATAGCATCCACACCAGAATCAAAGAACATGAGAGACACTGTAGGCTAAAACCACCGGAAAAATCAGCAGTAGCTGAACATGCTGGACATGAAATTCTATTTCAGAATACTGAAGTACTGGACAACACCAGCAGTCATTATATTAGATTACATAGGGAAGCCATTGAAATCCACAAACATCAGCAGAGCTTCAACAAAAAAGAAGAAAGTCTAAAACTCAACGAAGCCTGGCTCCCAGCACTGGAAAATACATCCTGGAAAAGGTCAACAAACTCTACCCAGCCACAAGGACTGGTGATCATTGCACACAAAAGACCAGCTAATGAGACCCATCAATCACAGTGACAGATAATCTCTCCCCTTATCACAACAATACACCCACAACAAAAAACACGCTGATCACCATAATTACCAAATGTCCTGAAAAGGACAAAAGCTTATCCCACAGCTATAAATACTCAATTATCCAACAAATTGCACCAGAGCACAGACAAGAGTTCTGACTCCTGTCCTCTGAAGATGCTGGCCACAGAGGCTGGCGAAATGTTAGGGAGAAAAACCTTAAGAACATGGCGAAACCGCCCGGAAAACCCACAACAACCAAATAGGGGAGTGTTAACTTTGATAGTGACTCACTACTATTCATGAAAGTCCAGTTTAAACTTGCATGACAAAGGATAATTCTGAGGTGACAGAAATACTTCAGATTGCAAGCATGGGTTCAGATTCATTTTCAATGATAAATGTATCAGAGCTAACTCCCTGGATTAGCTTCTCTACCACTAAGACACAGAGTTGGTGGTGTATTCATAAACGGAGTCTTCTGCTAATATTCTGAAATGGTGCAGTGCCCTGTCATATTAGGATTTTGCCAAGATAATATAATTGGAGCCAGTTCTACAGGTAACATTGTAGAAAGCATATAATTTGTATATTGTGTATGTAAACTGGAAAAGGAGATGTGACTTGCAAAAAGCTGGGGAACTCTGCCATTCCCACTCCACGCTCTTTATTCAATGCCTGCGATACTTTTCACCTTTGTCAATATTATATCATCAGGACTTTAGAACTTCAGTCAGTGCAGTGTATTGGGGGATTTCCATTTTTTAAAAAAATATGGTACCTTGTTATTTGGAAAGAACATTTCTGAATTACTATAAGATGTCTGGAAGCCATTCTAACAAAGCAACTAGGAGGAACAGCATGAGCTGAAATAATTGCTTTGAATAGCATGGTTATTAAAGGCCAGCTGACATATTAGAATTATGAAGCAGAAAACTGCCCAAGTTGTTTATTTTCTCCATATAAGTTGATACAGATGTGACATACTGTGCTAAACTGTTTTTGTTTTATTTTTCAGGAATTCAAAGAAGCTCACTGATATTTGTTAATCCAACACAAAGTGAAGGCAGTCCCCCCCCTTTTGATTTTCTATTGCATTTCCTCTTCCTTCTAAATCCTTCATAGAAGACAATAAATAATAAACAGGAGGTGGTGTTTCCTGATATGGTCAGTATGTATTTTGTCATCTCTATAAAGCCTGAAGATACAAGTGATTTTTTAACTTATCTAACCGAAGTATTTATTTATTTATTTATTTATTTATTTATTTATTTATTTATTTATTTATTTATTTATTTATTTATTTATTTATTTATTTATCAGCCACCCCACCAGCCTATCTCCACACCCCCTTCCTTTCCCTACCTTAGCCCACTCTACCCACAGGTCTCTGGGCAGCTTACAACAATTAAAAGACAATTAAAAGGCAAAAAAAGATAAAATGATTAAAATGCAATTAAAATAGATACTCTAAAAATTGCCATCAGGACCCACAGTTGATGTTATTTCAATTAAAAGCCGTCTGGAACAAGAAGGTTTTGACCTGGTGCTGAAATGTCATCAGCGTCGGCGCCAGACGAATCTCAGTTGGGAGGGCATTCCATAGTCTGGGGGCAGCTGCCAAAAAGGCCCTTCGTCTACAAGCCATCCCTCTTAACTCCTTGAGGGATGGCTCTTTCAAAGTATATGTTTTTGGAGTTAGAAACAAGAACTAATACCTTAACGGGTAAAAGTAACCTTACGCCAGCGCTGAGGTTGAACACACAAGTACATACCTATACCTAGCATTTTCTCTTCAGTTTAGGAGCTGAGCTTTGCTTCCCCCCTTTACTTCTGAGTATTCAAAAATCAGGCAATCCTTGATCCTCATCCCAGCCCTACTTTATACCTGGAAGGTCTTTATTTTGATCCCTGGTATCTCTATGTAGGACTGGTAAACACATCTGAAATGTTGGAGAGCTTCTGCTACTCAATATAGACACTTCTAAGACCTGCAAGTCCTTATACAGTGGGGTCTCGACTTACGAACTTAATCCATATTGGAAGGCAGTTCTCAGGTCGAAAAGTTCTTAAGTCGAATCTGCATTTCCCATAGGAATGCATTGAAAACCATTTAATCCGTATCTGCTCTTTTCGTCCATAGAAACTAATGGGAAGCTGCTATTCCGCCTTCTGCCACTAGAGGGGGATATTTTTTCTTTTTTCCTTTTAACCTAAGATGACTTAGCTTTTTAAAAAAGGGAAAAAAAGAGTTCGTAACTCGAATCTAAGTTCGTAAGTCGAGTCCATATATTCCTATGAGAGCGGTTCGTAAGTCGAAATGTTCATAAGTCGAGCCGTTCGTAAGTCGAGACCCCACTGTACTGTATTAGCAAATCTAGGGGATAATTTTAGATGAAGCTATAGGTGTAGAGTCAATAGAAGCCAATTTGAGAAGACTTATATAGAGCAATGGTTCCTGAGCTTCTTTTTTTTTTTTTTGGCATCTCCTTTTCTGAATTTTGAGAAACATCATACTTCCCTCATCTCTGCTTTACCATCATCCAGCTCCCTTTAAACCAAAAACAGAACAAAAAATTTGAAAATTAAGCAGTTACAAAAATATAAAATTTTATATAATGAATTTTAAATAAAAATGGGCACTTGGAAAAGTTAATTTTTGTTAACAATATCAAGGAAATTTATTTAAACTGATAAATATATTTTCCCTCTGAAAACTTCAGTCTCATCCCACCCTGGGAATTTCTTCACACACATGACATGGAGGTTGCAGTCAAACATACACATGAAGCCCAGGTTTAGCTTCTGATGACCAATCAGAAAACAAAAGAAACCAGCCTCCAGAATGTGGAGGTGAGGAGAGGACAAATATTAAGTCAAAAGCAGCACAAGTTTCTTGGCCAGAACTGCGCTTCTAAATGCAGAAATTGACTCTGATACAACAGAGGAGATCTAGGAAGGGTTCTTCCAAATGATCACTTTTGCAGTAGTCCTAATGTCAAGAGTCATGGGTTGAGACTATGTTGTGCTAGAAAGCTACGTATCTTTTTGAGAGCAATTTATAAAAATTGGATACAAATAAAGTGGCTATCTACAACAGCTGATAAAACATACTGATAATACTGTGTCAATGTACTGTTTGCCATCTTCCTATTAATTCCTGATTACTAGAAATGACACCAGATGACAACTATAACCAGGCCCATTCAGCTCCGTTGGCTTTGTGATTCTGCTGTAAAAAGGCTTCTTCTTTTTAACTCTCTACCTCTTCTAAGTAATGATGGGTTACAGTAAGAAGAACTGGGCTTTATGGGTGTTAGTTTTAATGGGCCTGAAGAGTGAATACAACAAGGTGTATTATAGGGAATCCAGTGTACAATAAGTAACTGACATGCAGTGGAGGTTGGGGAGTTCAGTGTTCAGCAATTTGAGCTAGTCTCTAGTTGGACCAGTGGGATGGTATACAAGCTTATTTAAACTGATAAATATATTCCATTTACAAGCTCTTATATCTTCCATTTTGTGTCATCAATGCAATTAACCTTTTTCTGCAACCAATTATATGGCACTGCTTTAGTAGTTATAGCGGAAGCAGTCACTGAAAGCTTCAGCAATTCAGGTTTTTACCTACCCCATTTCCCCCAAAATAAAACCTAATTATGATTTTTTAGGGTGCTCGTAATATAAGCCCTACCCCAAGAATAAGCCCTAGTTAAGTGAAACCCCTCGCTCCACCATTGTGCAGCAATCATAAGATGACATGACTGTATTCGAATAAATGTAGATTGTTGTACATGAAAAAAAATAAAACATCTCCTGAAAATAAGCCCCAATGCGGTTTTTAGAGCAAAAAAATAATATAAGACCCTGTCTTATTTTTGAGGAAGCACGGTATGAGACTACTGTTGCAAGTCTTTTCTGGAAGCTATTTTTATTTTTTAGATCTAAATGATTTTTTATGGTTTATAATTTTGGACAAAGGGAAAATGAATGGAAGGTGGGGGTTTACATTTTTTGTAGTCAAAATGCCAAGCTTCTTCCTTTGTTCAACGTCTGTGCCAAAACTTCACAAACTAGGAAGAGGCAACGTTTTGCCTGGCATAGAACTATCCAATTGCAATTAATAGGATGTGGGTGCCTGAGTCACCAATATTCGGCTGCTAATTAACATTCAATTCCTTTTGCCTAATTTTAAAAGCCGCTGATGTCACATGGGAAACTCCAGTTCAAAATAATATGGCCATTCTTATTATGAATTCCTTTGGGAATTTAAAATAAAAAAAAAATAAACCAGAAGAATCCCTTCCATGATAACTGGAACTCAGAATGTGAGCCTAGAAGGCTGTTGAATAATACAGCCGATTATTACAAAGATGTAACTACATTACAGTATAAGCCTTTTATGAGTCAGAGTGTTAAAATAGGAAGACAAGAGTACTGCTTGTCACCAGAACTATAGTTTAAGTATAAAACTTGCTATAAATATGTAACAATAATCTATTTGTTTATTTATTAATTTTATTTATTTATTGGACTTGCAAGCCACTACTCTGGGTGACTACAAAACACACATACACATAAATATACCATCTGGATTAAAACAAAGCATACAAACAAAACCCACATTAAATCCACCTATCTAACAGTCATCCCTATATTTCAAGATGGCAAGCAAGAACAACTGGATCAAACATTTGATAGTAAATCAAACTCCAGAGGGCTGACATGAAATTGCATAATGTATTAAATTTTAAAAGGGATATAGTTCCCAAAGGCTTGGGTAAAGAGCCAGGTTTGAATTTGGACTTGCAGTGCTACTCTGTGAAGTAGTTACTTTTAACATACTCCTTCTTGCTTTTCCCATATTAAGTCGTAGGCGAGAATCTGACATTGTTAACAATGAAAATCATTATTGTGAAGTCAGAGGGGCTGCACCTATTTCTGCTAGCGGCCAGGTTGACTCATAACAGTGAATTGCCACACACTTGTTTTTATTAAGCATAACAGTGAGTACATAGGTTAAATTAATGGAAAATGCAATTGCATATTAAAATCCATTTTATGACTTTTGTAATGCTCTGTGATCTCTGGAAGAGCTATTTTGTTTCTAACAATGAAGGTATTTAAAGCAGTCCCACACAGCTAATAGTAATAGCTATTCTGGTTTTAGCTTAAAAAGAGTTTTAACTGAGTGCTATATCTAGAGTACAAAAACATGCTACTAAGAGGGCCTCAAATTATCCCTAGTTGAGGACCTATACTGTAGTGTATTTAATTCATTACAAATTCTTGTTCAGTCCTACCAGTACATTTCAATTGCTACCACTTGGTTCCGATTTTCCAGAGTGAGTCCGACTTTCTTCTGTGCTGAACATCAACTCTGACTTTTCAAAAACTGTATTACTAACTATACATGGAAGTTCTTTTGTTCTGATTGTTAAAAGAACACAACAAAAAACAATGCAGTGAGATGCTGTAGGAGTTCTGTAACAGCAGGTATCCACCTCTAGTGAACCGAACCATTTTCTAAAGTATATAATCTTTTCCATATTTTCTGTACAGTAGATTTATCATATGAGTAAAAGTAGCTTCCACAGATGCACCTTGAGCTTAAAGAGCTAGCCCCTCCCACACCTTCTACATGTGGAAAGCAACATGTCCACAGCTAAGACATTTGTGGTCATGTATAGCCTCTACATGCAAGCAAAAGTCCTGGAAAATCACACTACCACGTTATCTTAGACCTGCCTACAGTACACCTGTAGATACGACTGAGACTTGTTTCACAACATATATTCTAGGTAGGACTAATGCTGGGTTTACTCAGCGTTCCCTTGCTTCTACTTGATCATTCTATGTGTGCGCGTGCACATACACAATTTCATGACAAAATATAAATTAGGGAGTAAAGCAAATGTTCAGGTGAATGTTATATCCCATATGTCCACAGGATTTGATTCCACCAATATTTCTTGTTCACTAGTGTTATTCCTCCTTTCATGAACAATACCAACTAGTTTTCCAGCACTGTAAAGTCTTTGAAGTTTTATTTGGCATAAGCTTTCATGAACTGCAGCCTAATTATAGTATAT